CTAAGAAGCTGATGTTTCCTTCAGGCTGTAGATCTGCTGAATATCCAATGGTCCCAAAGCTTCATGCTTTATTTATCTTCTCTTTACTGCCTAAGCTTTAATCCTGTTCCTATACCAACTGTATGCGTGTGTGTGTGTGTGTCACGCAGGGCGTGTGATGCGTCAGTGCAGCAGTGTTGGAGTAGTAGTGCTGCATGATGCATGCTGCTCCTGCTTGTCACTTTCTGCTTTCAGCTGCTGCCACCGGATAGCCCTTTGTTCTTTAGGGGCGAAAAGAGGAGCCGAGTGTGTAAGTCTCCTCAGCCGGTACATAGCCTGTCCACTGCCAAGATCTCGTACACGCCTCCTCGTGGCTCACATGGTATCTGGTCCCTTGCGGTTCCAGGCTAAGTTGTACGGGATCTCGGAGCAGCAGTGGGCCCTAGAGACGTGGCATGCAGGCCCATCGATGAGTGGAAATGCCCTGATGCCCGTCAACCACTGTCCCAGCTATGGGTAAATAGCCCCAGCTATGGGTAAATAGTAAAGACCTCAACGACGGCGCAGGCGGAAGATGGTGGTGTGTGAACCATTACAACGGCTGGGAAGGCGGAAGAAGGCAACCCCACAGCCACGTGGGTTAACTCGGGAGGGTACCGTGGCTAGGGGAGCAAACCCTGAACTTTTTTTCCTTCAAAACTCTCAAGTCACAATAACCTTTTTATTTTATTTGGTATCGAAAACAAGCTTGACATTCTTTTTTTTCTCTCGCAATTTCTTCGCAGTTATACTTACTAATTGTAACAGTGAAACAAGCATTTTCTGTGAAGCTGCTTTGAAACTACATGTTTTGTGAAAAGTGACTTGAAAATGTACGAATGCTAATGAGCAGGAGCGCAGTAAAGCAGCGTACGACATGCACAGGTTAGCCTTTCATTCATTGTCTTGTTGGTTGGCAGCACTCTTGGGTCCATCGAGCGTTTGTTGAAGATAATGGAGGGTGCACGGGTGACGTCCGATCACTTTCAGAGTGTGAAACATCAGTCCTGCGGCCGTATGGACCGGCTCTACAGGCCCAGGAACGACCGCCGTCCAAACGGCACCAAGGAAAGCCATGAGCCGGGCTCGTCCGTTCCTCTGCACAGAAGAGACCAGAGCTGGTCCAAGGACTCGATTAATGAGCCAAAGAGTAAAGCTGCTGTACCGTTAGCTTGGTGCGAGACGCCAAAACTGGTCAAAAAGGACGCGTCGCTCCGCAGGCGCCTGCTCGTGTCCTGCTCCTCGTCCGACGGGAGTAAGAGCGACTCCGCAACACCTGGAGACAACTCCAGAGATCACCTGACCCGCGGAGACCACGAGAGCTTCGGCTCTCCAGACCTCAGCCCAACCGGGCCTTTGACTTACAGCACTTTAAAAGCAGAAGACTTGGTTTTCTCCTGTCTTCGGTTCTCCCAGGCGATCACGTCCACCCTGGAGACCGGCAGGAGCGGCGGCGTCCACATGAGCCCAATGCCGTTTCAGAACCAGGCCATCGCTGAACCCGATCTCGATGAAAGCATCATAGCTGGTCTTCCTAGCTCTCCACAGACCAGCGACTTCACGCCGCTGAACGCAGAGGCCTTCCGGTCGCCCGTGAGAGCAGGAAAGCCTGTCCTGGACACGTCCTCGCTCACGCCTGCCTCCGAGGACAGCGGCTTCAGCTCTCTGGGTCTGGATAAATCGCACGACTCCTCGGTGGACCACGACGGCTCCTTCCAGGAGCTGGTGCTTCCGACGAGCTCGTGCGGGAAAGACAAGAGACGCTCGCGGCTGGAGAGACAGCGCAGACTGTCCACGCTCCGAGAGGGAGGCTCGCAGTCGGAGGACGGGCCCAAGAGCCAGCGGACGGAGCCTCGTGCCAGTAAAGACGAGGTGTTTTTGGACGGGACGCCGCTGACCGTGGCTACCCTGAGGATGCAGGACCTGTCTCTGATTCCAGCGCTGCAGGTCGTCCACGCCATTAGCCGTCAGCAGACCAGTTTAGAGGAGCTGCTCCGCGTGTCGGAGGACGACGGAACCAGCCTGCCGCTCTCGGGACTCATCGGACGCAAAATGGGCCTCGAAAAGGTGGACGTCATCTCAGAGCTGAGGATGAGAAACCTGAGGCACGTACTGGCTGCTATCTTGTGTCTCCTGTCTGCAGCTGACCTCTACAGGTACATTATACGGCTCAGAGATTCATAGTTTTGGTGTTTGTGGGTCAGTATTAAGCCGTGTGATTGGTCACAGGTTTGGCCAGGTGTCTGACGACTGGAACAACATCGTCTCAGAAGATAAGAGAGCTGCTCACAGGAGAAGAAGCCACATTAGAGAGCTCAAGATCGCACTGGAGGTGACACGGCTAACTTTAATTAGCAGCGATAAACAGTGCAGTACCTCATGTTGCACGTGAGTGCCGTCCAGTTATCATCTTGGAAGCAGATAAAGTAATTTAGCATTTTAACCCCTTGACTGCCACCGTCCTGCTGGCGGGATGCTTAGCGCTCTCTCTTTTTGTTGTTATTGTCTTTTGCTTCCCTATCACATATTTTAGTATTCATCATAAATTAGATATCATTTCAAAGCTCAAGATTTAGAAATCGGAGATTGTGTTACCATGGAAATGGTACGTTAAATTCTTTTAGCGGGCGGTGTCAAGTGTCAAATTACAAAATGCATTTCTATATTTTAGCATCAAAAATTTTTTATAATCTTGACAAAATACATATCGTCAGAAAGGTCTGAGTCTCAAGATTCTATATTTGGTTTTTATTTTGTGATAGAAGCAATATTGCAAGAGAAATTTACGTGACATGAAAATTTATGAAAAAAAGTTCAATTGCGTTTGGGTGTCACCCGGTGGCTGTTTTTGGTATAACGCCTAAATATATATATATATAATTTTTATTTTATTTTTATTTGTTACAATTTTTAAGATTTTATCAACTTCAAATTTGGAACATAACTTATTTAGACATATGGCTTAAATTTTATAGCAATTTTAGAGTAAAACGTATCCTGTAATATATTTATTTTATATAAAATAAAAACTTTATAGTACAGTACATTTTTATTTACAGTAACCTTAAACTTCTATAACTTTTTCATAGTTACATTTTTTCAAATGTTTTCACTTCAGCAATAATCTGCTGATTGTCTTCTTTAAAAAGAGATCTGTGTTCCAAAGCGTTCATGAATTAAACAGCTTGAGTTCGGATGGTGTGACCGTTAAAGTGAAAATCGTCATTTACTCGTATGTCGTTCTTTAGTGGAACATGGGAGATAATTTGAAGAATGTTGGTTCCCAAACAGTTTTGGTTCTCATTGGCTTCCACTGTATGAACATTAAATACAATAGAAGTCAATGGGAACCAAAACTGTTTGATTAACGACATTCTTCAAAATATTGTTTTATGTGTTTAGCAGATGAAACCAAATGCATGCAGGTTTGAACGACACGAGGGTGAGTAAATGACTGCATTTTCTCGTTTTAAGTCTGAACTGGAAATCTCAATTATTTGATCAGATCTGGGAATGTAGAGTCATTATGGGATGCAGGACTCCAGTGTGCAGTGCATCTCTGAATCTCTGAAAATTATGTCATTGCGGAATGAAAATTAGTTTTCTCTTTGAGTTAAGTTGATTTTTCTGAGTCCATTACCAGATACTTGTTCTTGTTTAATCATAAACCGACTTCGTTTTGATCGGTTTCTCAAAAATCAAGATGACTTATGCCACTTTGCTTCTCCTGATTTAAGAATCTTTTACATTTGCACTGGAAAACGATACAAACACACGGAGGAAGATATTCATTTTTTGAAGTGCATGCAACATTTAAAACCTTGCTGTTGTTTTTTAACAGTAAAAGTTATTTCCGTATTCGCGTTTAGGTATGTAAACTGAATTAAAAAGTTGTATTTTCAAGTTTTGCAGTGTTGCTAATACAACTCATGGTCTGCTCTCTAGACAATCACATTTACAGAACATACTGAGCTTCCTTTCATTTATTCCTTAATTTGTCTTTACTTGGTCTTAAAGTCTACACTGCAGTGGAGACCCATCTCTGATCTACATTCAGTACAGATGCGCTCTTCTTGAGGTAACCACGTGTTTTTATGTCGTCCTCTCTCTATGGCCAGCTGCTGGTCACTCAGTCTGTACAACGCTTTTTTCTTCTCTCGGGAGTTTGTTTATTTAAATGTATTTTCACTGTTATTGTTTATTATTATCATCATTGTTGAAGTCAAACGCGAGCAGAAGCGCAGCTGAGAGTCGCGTCGCGTCGCGTCTGAGTTTGATCTCCATAGCAACGCGATCAGACGCTCGGCGCGGGGGAGTTTCGCTCGGGATCCGAACCGAACCGAACCGAACTCTCCAGAATGTCGCGGGGGTTTCCCGGTGAGTTTGCGTCTCGCTGCGGTTCTCTGCTTTCCTGCGGTCTCTGATGCGCTTTCTGCTTCTACTTTCAGATTTCCCGGAAATAACGAGCGAGAACTTTGTGAGTATCGGGATGTGAACGAATCACGATCTGCCGTGACTGATCGATATATTGATTGATTGATTGATTGATCGATCGTGTGCTGTGATTGAACAGGAACAGAGTCTCTCATCTGATCAGAGCTTCGCGGAGTTCTTCAACGACTTCCTGCTGCTTCCGGTGAGAACGGACTAGTTAAACTAACCGGGTTTAGTTAAAAAAGAGCATCTGCGTGAGAGGAAAAGCGTTTCCTTTTGTAAAGTGTTTTATAAGTGATCAAATCAATTGAGATTTTCTCAAAGTAACTCTAAATATGCAGGGCCCTGTGAAATACGTTTTATTTTTTTCCAAGTTCCGATTTTTCCGTTTTAATTTCTCTGAACTCATTTTTAATGGTTAAATAAAATTGAATTAATCAAAAAGTATGTCTAATTAATTAAAATCAAAGCTTAACAAAAAAATAAAATTTTAGTGCCCTATGAAATGTTTTATTTTCCCCCAAATTCCGTTCTATTTTTTTTTTAAATTACGTTTTTTTTTCTGTTTATATTTTTCTAGACTCCTTTTTAATGGTTAAATTAAAATTTATTCATCAAAAAGCATGTCTAATTAAAATCATGAAACTTATACAATTTAACATGAATATATTAAAAGTTTAACAAAAAAATCAAATTTTTATGGCCCTATGAAATGATTTTATTTTTCATGTTCGGTTTTATTGTTACCGAATTCTGTGGTTAAGCATTTATTTAATGCATAAAAACAACTTAATTTATTAAAATGTATTTTTACAATAGCCCTATAAAATGTTTTTTCTTTTTCTTTTTTTCAAAAATTCTGTTGTGTATTTTAATTTTTCTGGTTATCAAATGAAGACATAAATCAGTCATTTAGCTATTTTATCTTTCAATCTGGCAAACAAAGGGGCTTTACTATTAAAATTAAAACATGGGAATAAGTTTTAATAATGTATTAGTAGTAGTATTATGTATTGCTTTTATAAAACGGTTATTCCATATACGTAGTTAGGTTTCACAAAATAAAACAGAGCAAATAAAGTGTAATGATATTAATAAAAACAGTATTCTTCCACCAAACAATGTAGCTCCTCAGAAACAGTTGTGGTTGCAACAAAGTGGTTGCCAAGCAACACACAAACGTAAACAAAGGTGTATGTTACTTTGTAGAGTCATTTACAACAGCTTCGAACGCGGCTCAGCCAATCAGAATCAAGCACCGGAACTATCTGTTTTATAAATGTCATTTTGTTCTTTGACTAAAAGAAATTCTATGAAGGTTTCAGTCACAGTAAATAAGCTTTCTGCTTTGATGCATGGTTTAACGTCTGTGTTCCTTCAGTGCTCCGGCTGACTGTGGTCTGTGTTTCAGGTGTTTGCCGTGGCTGTGAGGTATGATGGGATCTCTGCAGGCTTCGAGCTGCTGGATCACACCGCTGTCTGTCTGTCCCGCCGGATCAGAACCGCTCTGCGTGAGATCCGGTCCAGAACTCTGTCGGACCCGAGCTGGATCCCTGCAGAACCCCTACGAGACAACAGCTACAGCGTCACTGTACGGCCTGCTTCACACGCACACGCACACGCATGCATTCATCTCCTGTGTTCTGTGACACGAGAAGCTCATGTCTCTTCCTCTGCAGCGTCTGGACCGAGCTCAGACCGTCCAGTGGCTGAAGAGAGACAGACTGCCGTTTTTCCTGCAGAGCGACTGTTATTTTGAGTTCAGGTGGGAGTATGTGATGCATGTGGATGTCTAGTGTGCTGATGCTGGTTTTGTAATGTCTGTTGTTTTCTGCACAGGTTGGCTAAATGTCTGTCTCAGCTCAGCGGTGCTTCATCCTCTCAAGCGCTGCGGTGTGCTGAGGTGTGTTCCAGCATAACCTAGTGCTACAGAAGCCCAAGCATCTTTATCTGAGCTCTGGTTTGAGGAGTGTGTTCTGGTGTGTTTGCAGTGCCGGCTTCTGTCTGCTCGGCGGTTTGGCAGCTTCTCAGAGGAGATGGACAGCAGCTTCATCTCTCCAAACACTGACTGCAGCACAGCACACGGTAGGACACATGTAAACGGTCAGTTCCTCACCTGCTGCTTAGAGACGGACACAACGCCGTCGGACTATACGCCATGAATGAGCAGAGAACTCAAATACATGTGAAAATCGCTGAACTTTGCAACACTGACGCTGTTATTTAGATGAATAATGACACTAAAAACTCTCTGTAGGGAAATAGATTTGAACTGATAAACCTTTAAAGACAACTCTGAGGTTGCTAATACCATCTGTTTGCATTAATTCAACTTCTTTTTAAAATCATTGTTTAATACTGGAAAACTACATTACCCATGATGCAGTACTGAAACCTAACCAATCAGTGCGCCAAATGAGAACTTTAGCTCCGCCCACTCCAATGAAGCATATTTTGTAATGAACTTGAAAATATATTGCTATTATACAAGACCTTTAAATTAATACTTTTATATTTCTCCATCATTTTCAAATGAATACCAGTCGCAGTGCTTCATGAGATCGTAGTTCTTTCCCTCACTAAACTTTGACTTTTATTTACGTTTTTACTTCAAATCAAAGTTTGTAATGTCGTGATTCTCCTCATAGCTGGTTGGTTTGGTTCATGGCTTACAATGCTTTAATGAAGACTCGTTTAAAATCCCTATGGGAAAAATTAATGTGAAAGAGCTGCTTTACAGCTGAAATTTAGTTTGTTTCATAATTGATGAACTAGCAGTGTTATTGTCATGTTTGTTACTGTGAATCCGTCTGTATTGTATAAAGTGCTGCAGGAGTCGGTGTGATTGATCAGGTGTTGTTCTGTCGCAGGTCGTTCCCGATCCAGCTTTCTGGAGTTTAAGAGGTCTCTGGTCGGTGGACCGGGAGAGAATATTCTTCATCTGTGGATGGATGTCGAACGACTGAAAACACTCAGCACAAAGACCAAGAGCAGGTTACAACCCTCTAACTAACCAACCAGCCCTTTACCAACCATCACTACTGTAACACACTCACAGAGCTAGTATGAGAACCCAAACACTTCCAGCCACATAAGCTTGAATCCAGGCAGTGCCAGTGTGCTCAGGTGTGATGTGATGTAACACACACACACACACACTTACACACACACACTCACTCACGCACGCACACTCACTCACTCACTCACTCCCTCACTCACTCACACACACTCACACTCTCACTCACACACACACACGCACACTCACACTCACTCACTCACTCACTCCCTCACTCACTCACACACACTCACACTCTCACTCACACACACACACGCACACTCACACTCACTCACTCACTCACTCCCTCACTCACTCACACACACTCACACTCTCACTCACACACACACACGCACACTCACACTCACTCACTCACTCACTCCCTCACTCACTCACACACACTCACACTCTCACTCACACACACACACGCACACTCACACTCACTCACTCACTCACTCCCTCACTCACTCACACACACTCACACTCTCACTCACACACACACACGCACACTCACACTCACTCACTCACTCACTCCCTCACTCACTCACACACACTCACACTCTCACTCACACACACACACGCACACTCACACTCACTCACTCACTCACTCCCTCACTCACTCACACACACTCACACTCTCACTCACACACACACACGCACACTCACACTCACTCACTCACTCACTCCCTCACTCACTCACACACACTCACACTCTCACTCACACACACACACGCACACTCACACTCACTCACTCACTCACTCCCTCACTCACTCACACACACTCACACTCTCACTCACACACACACACGCACACTCACACTCACTCACTCACTCACTCCCTCACTCACTCACACACACTCACACTCTCACTCACACACACACACGCACACTCACACTCACTCACTCACTCACTCCCTCACTCACTCACACACACTCACACTCTCACTCACACACACACACGCACACTCACACTCACTCACTCACTCACTCCCTCACTCACTCACACACACTCACACTCTCACTCACACACACACACGCACACTCACACTCACTCACTCACTCACTCCCTCACTCACTCACACACACTCACACTCTCACTCACACACACACACGCACACTCACACTCACTCACTCACTCACTCCCTCACTCACTCACACACACTCACACTCTCACTCACACACACACACGCACACTCACACTCACTCACTCACTCACTCCCTCACTCACTCACACACACTCACACTCTCACTCACACACACACACGCACACTCACACTCACTCACTCACTCACTCCCTCACTCACTCACACACACTCACACTCTCACTCACACACACACACGCACACTCACACTCACTCACTCACTCACTCCCTCACTCACTCACACACACTCACACTCTCACTCACACACACACACGCACACTCACACTCACTCACTCACTCACTCCCTCACTCACTCACACACACTCACACTCTCACTCACACACACACACGCACACTCACACTCACTCACTCACTCACTCCCTCACTCACTCACACACACTCACACTCTCACTCACACACACACACGCACACTCACACTCACTCACTCACTCACTCCCTCACTCACTCACACACACTCACACTCTCACTCACACACACACACGCACACTCACACTCACTCACTCACTCACTCCCTCACTCACTCACACACACTCACACTCTCACTCACACACACACACGCACACTCACACTCACTCACTCACTCACTCCCTCACTCACTCACACACACTCACACTCTCACTCACACACACACACGCACACTCACACTCACTCACTCACTCACTCCCTCACTCACTCACACACACTCACACTCTCACTCACACACACACACGCACACTCACACTCACTCACTCACTCACTCCCTCACTCACTCACACACACTCACACTCTCACTCACACACACACACGCACACTCACACTCACTCACTCACTCACTCCCTCACTCACTCACACACACTCACACTCTCACTCACACACACACACGCACACTCACACTCACTCACTCACTCACTCCCTCACTCACTCACACACACTCACACTCTCACTCACACACACACACGCACACTCACACTCACTCACTCACTCACTCCCTCACTCACTCACACACACTCACACTCTCACTCACACACACACACGCACACTCACACTCACTCACTCACTCACTCCCTCACTCACTCACACACACTCACACTCTCACTCACACACACACACGCACACTCACACTCACTCACTCACTCACTCCCTCACTCACTCACACACACTCACACTCTCACTCACACACACACACGCACACTCACACTCACTCACTCACTCACTCCCTCACTCACTCACACACACTCACACTCTCACTCACACACACACACGCACACTCACACTCACTCACTCACTCACTCCCTCACTCACTCACACACACTCACACTCTCACTCACACACACACACGCACACTCACACTCACTCACTCACTCACTCCCTCACTCACTCACACACACTCACACTCTCACTCACACACACACACGCACACTCACACTCACTCACTCACTCACTCCCTCACTCACTCACACACACTCACACTCTCACTCACACACACACACGCACACTCACACTCACTCACTCACTCACTCCCTCACTCACTCACACACACTCACACTCTCACTCACACACACACACGCACACTCACACTCACTCACTCACTCACTCCCTCACTCACTCACACACACTCACACTCTCACTCACACACACACACGCACACTCACACTCACTCACTCACTCACTCCCTCACTCACTCACACACACTCACACTCTCACTCACACACACACACGCACACTCACACTCACTCACTCACTCACTCCCTCACTCACTCACACACACTCACACTCTCACTCACACACACACACGCACACTCACACTCACTCACTCACTCACTCCCTCACTCACTCACACACACTCACACTCTCACTCACACACACACACGCACACTCACACTCACTCACTCACTCACTCCCTCACTCACTCACACACACTCACACTCTCACTCACACACACACACGCACACTCACACTCACTCACTCACTCACTCCCTCACTCACTCACACACACTCACACTCTCACTCACACACACACACGCACACTCACACTCACTCACTCACTCACTCCCTCACTCACTCACACACACTCACACTCTCACTCACACACACACACGCACACTCACACTCACTCACACACACACACACTCACTCACGCACGCACACTCACACACATACTCACTCACACACTCACTCACACGCACACACACACACACACACACACACACAC